TGCAGTGGTGGGTGGCTGGTTTTGCAGTTACTCCAGAGCGATTTTCAGCTGGTTCGGGCGTCTTTGGGCCTCCGAGCGGCTGAGGTGGAACAGCACGCATTGCCGGCTACAAACTCACCGAGACACCCACCCAGTTTTTCCTGTGCTTAGACTATGCTGAACACTTTCTCAACACCGTGACACTGCTCTCACCACCTGAGATGGCAAAGCTCAAACCCAGCTCAGGCATGCCTAGACGGCATGGCTTGCGGTGAATACATGTGGCTTCCCCGGCACGTCTAACCCTAAGGACATAAGGTTGATTGTATTTCTTCTTCTATTTCCAGACAAGCAAAACAAGAACATTGTATTTTGGCAGGACAAGCATAGCCCTGCAACATACGGCACACTGTAAGAGATTATTTCATGTGAACTGGGAGGAAAATGTGAGAAGATTAATTTTTAATGTTTGTGCTTAAAACTGTCTCGGAGAGTGACCCACAGGTAGAAGACATCATTTGTTTTTTCAAACTGAAGAAGCTACTTGACCCACTGACTATGTTACTCTGCTAAACCAATGCATATGCAAAATCCAAGAGCCAGATGGGCTCCCAGCTAGATGTCTAACACCCACCGACATCGAGAAGAGAAGCAATCACTTATGAGCTGAGACCCTTGCAACCAACACCAAAGATCACTTTCTACAGGAAGGTACCTCAGCTTGGTCATTTGGTCATGCCATTAAGTCTCCTCTCAAATACAACTTTTGGCTTTGGGAGGGAATACCAAAGCAAGCAGAACACCATTTCTCACCAGTAAGGGGTTTTATATGTTTTGACTTGAGATGACTTACAGTATACGATGGTAGAAGTTTCAGTCTGTGTGTCATTTTTTCAGAGGAAATCCTCCATCCAATCTTACACATTCTAGCCGCAGGAGTAAAATAAGCCAGCTCTGGAAGCTGTTCATATGCATATACGCTCCGGATGAGCTAGCCATGTGAAAAACTCATCAAACCTGACTGCTTTCTGAATGTTAACGTCGTTCTTGCAGATTGGAATTACATTGCATCATGATGCTTGTTTCGAAAAGCTTTTTTTTAAGCTTCTGGGCATGGCAGAGATTAAGATGTGTTTGGGCAGCAGAATTAAATGTTAATTCTAAATTTATTTTAGCTGAATTAATACAATTGCTGGGATTATTTAAGAGTATTTTTCTCAATGTTCCACATATACACGAGAGAGAAAGAGCAACTTCACCTTCAAACATACATTTCCTTGTCCAGTTCGTATTTGTGTTATATTCACCAGTTATTAATTAAAAAACAGACGTTAATGCTCATTTTCATGCCATAAAATCTTCTGCTTTTCGTTCTCAATAAGCGTCCATATTTTTATTTTTTTTTGTTAAGCAAGACTCTTAAAAACTTTTATATTTATACTCAAGAGCCCTACATTCATATTTAGGCATAAATCCGATTCACTTCAGTGGGTCTCGACAGGATTTTTGCCTCAGGTAAGACTAGAAGATGCAGACCTGATGTTCATGCATTTTGACAAAAACATCTTCACACATTTTGAGTTCTTCAGTGCTGACAGTATTGATCTTTTTTTTTTTTTTCACATCCTACCAACTCAGTGCATTAAATATTTAATAATACAGGAGATATCTGGCCCCATTGTCTGACTCGCATAGATAACATAATAATTGAAACCAAATCTTTATCCTTCTATATCCTTCTATAGTCTATGCAAGGCTGGAAAATTGATCAAAATAAACACAACATCTTTCAAAAAATCCCACATACCAAAGCGGTAATGTAAAAGAAGCTAGAATAAAGTAGACATCAAAAAAAATGAACCTATTTTTTATTTTAAAAATATTTTGCTGCCACCTTCTGGAACTTAATAAAATGGGCATCTCAAGTGTTTGCAACATGGACACAACTTAGCCTTCAACAGGAATTGCTGATGTTATTACAGAGAAAGAATTCATACATTTTGTCTTCATTACTTTTTAAATTCTAAACAAGTATGTCCAATTTCACATTCCACAGAGAGATGGAAGATCACAGATTCAAAACGAAGGCTTTTATATGTGAATACAACAGAAAAAAAAATATTGTGCATCAAGCATAACTCAACAAATGGCACGAATAATCAGCAGATCGAGAATTATTTGGTCATAAAGGGATACAGGTAAGCAAAGCAAGGAGGTCCTTACAAGTGATACATAAGAATCAATAATCATTCGCAAATAATTGTTAGTTTAAACCCAAGGTTACTCCTTAGAACTCAGGGCCTCTTTCCCCCAGGTGTGTTGTGGCCTTTGTGTAACTGCACTGCTTTTAAAATGTAATTCTACATGAATAAACAAGAGGCAAACAAGTCCTAAGGCTTTGGGCTCTGTCCTACATATTCTCTCCCTGTTTCTGTCAGAGAGATTTTTCTTCTGCACAGCCTGTGAAAATGCGACACATTTTGGGGAAGATTAATATATGCAAATGTAACACCAGTACAGAGAGTATGTCAGAAGTTCTTTACTGTCACTAAGACAACTGAAGCACTAATCTTATTTTAGAAAAGGAGCGATCACAAGCATTTAAACTGGAGGAAGAATAGAGTTGTCTCAATCTGTACACTGTCCTGAAGTCAACAGGGGCTTTTTGATGCACAAGCTCAACATTCCCAGAGCATCCTGGGGTTTGGCCAGCTCCATCATGGCTCATACAATGGACAGATGCCCTCTGGGACAGCCCGCTCTGTGGGGATGCCTGCTGCTTGGCAAGTTGCCTGGTCAGCTGGGGGTCGGTGCTTGGCAGGTGTGTTGCACAACCCCTCTTGGGGAAACGAGGAGTATGAGGAGATGTGAGCACCAGCTGATTTACGCCACTGCCATTCCTTTGTCTCCAAAATTTAATTCAGATTGATGCACAGGTGCTGTGAGATTTTTTTTCTAGAGTGCACTGAAATGAGTTTGTTCCTTAGGGAAAGCATTGTGCACATCAGCACTTAGATCCTAACTGGGAAGTTTTGGCCAATTACCTGCCCGTAAGAGTGGGGTTGATGAACCCATGGTGACGGCATGTCCTCAGTGGCATACATGTACATATACCTTGCGGTAACAGCTGCGTGGGTTATATAGAATCATAGAATGTTTGGGGTTGGAAGGGACCCCTAGAGGTCATCTAGACCAACCCCCCTGCAGTGAGCAGGGACACTGCTAACTAGATCAGGTTGCTCAGAGCCCCGTCCAACCCGGCCTGGAATGCTTCCAGGGATGGGGCCTCCACTGTCTCTCTGGGCAACCTGTTCCAGTGTTTCACCACCCTCAGCGTAAAGAATTTCTTCCTTGTATCCAGTCCAAACCTACCCTGGTTTAGTTCAAAACCATTACCCCTTGTCCTGTCACAGCTGTCTCTACTGAAAAGATTTTCCCCACCTTTCCTATAGGCCCCCTTTAGGTACTGAAAGGCCACAATCAGGTCTCCCCGCAGCCTTCTCTTCTCCAGGCTGAACAAGCCCAACTCTCTCAGCCTGTCCTCATAGGAGAGGTGCTCCAGCCCTCAGATCATTTCTGTGGCCCTCCTCTGGACCCGCTCCAACTGCTCCATGTCCTCCTTGTGCTGAGGGCTCCAGATAATTCATGTGGGGTATGGGTATAAATAATAACTCCTGTCGACATCAGCTGGCTTCTGCGGAGCGCGGGTGAAGCCCGGCTTTGGCCCAGGGAAGAAGGCTGCTCAGCGCTGGCAGCGGGGCCCCGTCCCGACGCGCAGATGTGCCCGCCCGCTGCCGTGCCCTGACCCCCGGGCACGCC